CTGAAGGGGTGCCTAGAACTTGGGTCTTTGCTTCCTGTGAATGAGCCATAACCCCTAATCTAAAATTAGGTGGGCTCTCCTCCTCCTCTTAAAGAGTTGCTAGTTCTGTTTTTTTGCAACTGAGATTTCCGGTACTTAACATGAGATTTATGTGCTTTCTCAGGCAGATTCAGAGTTAAGACAACTACTCCTTGGATCATTTCTGAGTATGCATGGTTGGCTGAGCCTAGTCACGTAGAGTGGAATCTTGTGTAAAATCTGCATAAGTGACCCTAAGTGCTACTTGTGTATTTGGGAGGTGGAAAGGAATTTGGGCATCTTAGGTGTCTAAGTACTACTTAAATGCATAATAGGCAAAGAAGCATCTAGTTGACTTGTCAGTGCCTAGTAGACAGGAAGGCAATGGGGGGGTTTGTATCTTTTATTGGACTAGAGGAATTTAGGCAGGAATACACCCTTATTCTGTCCTATCACTGAGGTGTTCTGAATGCTTCTATCTTAGCTTCCCTTTAAGCCACTCCTTTTCTATTTACGGTTGTTGAACCACTGACCATTCTTGGTCGGAGATTTTCTGTTTTTACCTAGGTGGAACACATTCCCTTTCTCTACCATTCTGTAGTAAAGGAGAGGCATTTTCATGTCATTGGCCAAATACCCAGAACTTTTTAAGAGTAAAAAGTGACTCATACCTACTGCTGTACTCTGAAGGAAAGCATGTCTGTGGTAAATAAATTACAGAAATTATTCAGGAACAGTTAATCCTTTTGCTGCTGCTGTTAATGCTGTATTTTACAGCACCTAAAAGTATGCTCACTGTTTTGCAAGGCAAATAGAAAAACAAAGCCCCTCTTCAAAAGGGTTTTCAGTCTAATTTTAGAAACAATATGATGAGCATTGATAAAAAAAAAAACTGAGGAAGAGGTGGAGTGAGAAAGAACAAGGTGGGTAGTGAAGTAAATTCAGGCATGTATGTCTCTAGGTAGGTTACTCAGAGATATTTGCTCTGTTCTTTAAGAATAATTACTATTGCCTCATTTCTTGTGAACATTCTGAAAGAAATGAGCATGAAGGAGTCATTTGAATTATGTATGGATAGGGGGTTAGCAAGATACCCTTCCAATAATATAACCTGTGTAATGCTATGGGGATTGTATCCTCTGCATCAATAATCTAGAAAATAAATTATGCCTACTCAGGTGCTCCTCTAGATTGTGCATTTGGCTTTCCTGAGTATTTGTCTTCTTTTGATTCTTAAATTGCTTGACTATACCAGTTCTGTCCCTTCACTTGTTTTCTAGTCTTTAATAAATTAATGATTTGTTTGCCCTGATTCTGTAAGAAATGATCCTGAAGTCAGGTAATCTTCCATTTTGAGAGGAAGGAAAGTCTGAAAGTAAGGGTGTTTTCCAGATTAAAGCACTGGAGTGTGACTCTGGAAATTTGGGATCATTCCCTGCTCTGCCACAGACAACCTGCATGGCATCAGGTAGTTCACTTTTATTCCTCTGTCCCCATCTATGAAATGGGGATATAATAATACTTCCTTTGTCCTACCTAGGGGTGACATGTAGTGGGTGCACACCCCCCTCCCGCCCAGCATGGCAGTGCACCCCCTACAAAAAGGCTGCCTGTGGGCGGTCGCCACTAGCCACCCTGCCATTGACACCGCCAGTGGCATCTGCAGACAGACCATGATCCCCACTGGCCACTGCCAACGCTGCTGGCGGCGTCTGTGGGTAATAGCCCACCCC